CAAGCATCTACCATCATATATACATTGTCAGATTTGTTTGATCAAACCATTGCAAAAGGGATGTTCAAACTGAACTTTATATGATATTGCCTCTTTTTACAACTTTTTTTTTTTCAGTCTGTCGTTTAAGTCACGTTTTGCTATTTGTCTTCTTGTTTATAGGATAAATTAAAAAAATAGTTGACAATGGGATAGAAATGCCCACAGCGTAGCAAAATTGTTGGAACTACGGTGAATTTTGTTAAATACACATTGTTTACACAGATTTATTATAATGTCTTTTTGTATTTCAGGATGATAAAAAGGAAGAAGTGAAAAAAGCAGACAACATTAATGCTGTAAGTTTTGATTTAACAGAACCAGTATGGATATAAAACAGTTATTAAAGTCACTGTTTGACTGGTATTTGTCTGGGTAATCTTTGTTATGTTAGAAATGAGTAACAAATGAGTATACATACTCAAGTAGCATATAGCTCGGCCAATGGCATTGACTCAAAATATATCAAACAAACTGTATACTGAAAAACTTTTTACCAAATTTTGTCCAAGAATGGTTTGTCTACTGCCTTTATAACTTTGGCAAAATTCAACGCCTGTCACCTTTCATGAACTTGAACTCATAGTTTTGTTATAATTTTGATAAAGACCTATCGGCAATGGAAATAATGTAAATTTGATTAAAAATAAACAAAGAAAATACATACCGGTAGTAATATTCTATCACCAATTGACTTTAATCAAGTTGATTTATAACTTTTTATACACAGTCACCAGAATTTTTACAAGGGTACTTTATTATATTTTATGTAGTATGTTCTTTATCGCATTTGATAATTCGTTTCTGTATTTTTTCTTCTGCTGTAAGGCACCAGTGTGCTTATTTATATGACAGAGCTTAAAAAAGTTGTATTGATTATTATTATGTTAATTATCCTAATGTTGGTGAGAACAAAGTATCGATGAATTTGCGTGGCTTGGGTAAAGTTACGCACTCTGTGTTAAGTGTAGTCTGGTGTCAAGACAGCATTAGTATTATACATTGAAATCACAGCTCTCCACTGACAAGATTGGTCGAGCCAATCAGATAGCATTTTTTTGAACACTTGATTATTATGTGCATGCAGTTTGTAATATGGGATCTGATTGGTTGATGATATCTGACAAGAATATTAAGTTAATCAAGTTGATAGAGCATGTGAAAGATTGAATGTATCAACTGATGTTACGGATCTGTAGATTGTCATTTTCTTTTTGCTGAAGAGATTTTTTTGTTTGTTAAGGCTCATTACAGTACAGGAGCAGTTGCTGCAGGTTTCACCTCAACAACTATGACACCGCAAACTGAACACGAAGCAGGTTAGTTGGCATATTCCTCTCCCTCACAAATTTAAAAAAATAGTGGGTTCTTGCATAGACTTTCATTTCAATAAGGCCCAATAGTTACATTATGTTTTTTGTATGACCATTTCAAAATGGCTGCCACTTTTAAATTCATAGTCATATATTTTCATGTGCAGGCATGAATGATTGATTAATGTTTATTGATAAAAGTATTGCATTGATTTTATGATATCAAGATTGGCTAGTCATTTTTGATCTAAAAATGCACTAAAATTGACAAACTTACATTGATTTGTTTCAAACTTGGTATAAAGGTTGATGTTTATGTTGGGTGTCGGGGATATCCAGTTTTTGTATACATTGTATTTTGATTTCAAATGGCCGACTGGTAGCAGTTCAAACATGCTTAGACTGACTTTTTTTAATTGAATATGCTCGTTGAACATGTTACTGGTGTCAAATACATTTATTTTTATTTTTTGTGATGGTTAAACATGAACATTTTTTTTACATTTCGATTCAAAATGGCAAACAGGTAGCAATTTCTTGTGTTTTTGAAGAATTCAGTTTCATACATAGATATGTCTAAGGAACTCCTTAACCTTTGTACTTGTATATTAAAGCATACATACACACATGCAGTCAGTCTGTGATCCAATCAAAGATCACCTCTGGTGCCATAAGATTATACAAGATTTTGCCTGATTGGCTGCCCAACCCTACTGTCTGCTCTAGTCGCCTAAAAGCAGCTCGTTTGTTGACAGGTGTATTTGACTCAGCTAGGTTAATTGTTGTACCAGAATCAGGATGATATATAGCCTTGAGATCTGAAAAAGTCCATCCTGTGTTTCTGAATTCAATGGAGAAGACAAAGCTATCGGCCAAGATTCAATTTCAGTTGAACATGGTTGAACTTTGCATGTATTCGACTGATTGACTGACTGGAATTATGCATTAGAACGATGGCCCAGGTATGTACGACCTAAAAAAGTGCCATATGCGAGTACCAAGTTGCGAGTCGCAAATAAGCAAAAATATGCCATAT